GCTCTGCGCCGCGCCGGCGGGCCCTGAACGCGCGCTCGGGCAGCTCGACGCGGCTCGACGGCCGAGAACCGTCTCACATCACCATGCTTCCTGTCGAAACGGCGCCTCAAGTTGTTGCAGTTCAACAAAGGGTCAATCAGGCGAGCTTTAGGGGTCGGTCGAGGCCTGCCTCCGCACCAGGCATGGAGAGCGCTATCAAGGCCGTCCTCGGAAACGCGGGCGACGGCTGGAAGCCGAACAAGTTGCGCAAGAAGACGTTCGCGAAGCTCGGCGACACGGACCTTACGTGGAGCGACTTCAAGGACTGCCTCGAGAAGCTCGTGCGCGCGGGCGCGGTGGTCGAGCTCGGCGACCTCGTGCGCCTCCGCGACGCGCCGCCGACGCGCGCGCCGCCGCCGGAAGTCGCCGCGCCGGCGCCGGCGAAGCGCAAGGCCGAGCCCGCGCCGGACGCCGACGCCGCGGAGAAGCGGCGCAAGAAGGACGCGGCCGTGGCGAAAAAGGCCGAGCAGGCCGGCTCCTGCTCCGCGGAGATGTCCATCCCCGCCGGCTTCGTGCCCTTCCTCTTGCGCAAGCAGTCGACGAAGCTGAAGAACATCGAGACGAACAGCAAGACGCACATCCAGATCAGCAAGCGCGGCGACGAGGGCGCGGCGCGCACGCTGACGATCACCGGGGAGTCGGAGGCGCGGCTCAAGACGGCCAAGGTCCTGCTCGGCGGCATGCTCAAGTCCTTCGACCGCCGCGCGCACCCGGACCAGGCCCAGGCCGGCGACCGCGGCAAGGGCGACCGGCCCGCGGGCCGCGGCAAGGGCAAGGGCGGCGGCCGGGGCCGGGGGCGGGGCAAAGGGCGGGGCAAGGGACGAGGCTCGTAAGCTCCTGTGACGCTCGTTTCTATGATTCAGCATGCAGTTATGGCACACACACAAGGGGTACGGTGGAGTGGCTGCACAGGGGTCGTCGTGGTATCGTGACGGGGCCGATGCTCGATGCTCGGCGGCGCTCAGAGGATCGCGGCGAGAGCGACGACCGCGGCCGCGGCGGCGAGGCGCGCGCCGGCCGAAGCGCCGTCGGACTCGGTCTCGGTCTCGTCCGCGACGACGCCGACGTCCTCCGCCTCCTCCGCCGCGTGGTCGTCGTGGTCGTGGTCGTGGCCGTGGTCCTCGCACGCGCACGCCGGCGCGTCGCCGACGTAGTCCGCGTGCCACATCGACACGCCCATCGCCGAGGCCCACGGAGTCTCCCAGATCATGTAGTACGTCGTGCCCTCGACGACGTGCTCGTGCGACTTGTGGTCGGGGCTCGCGGCCATGGCCTCGGCCTCCGTGCAGTACCTGGTAGGGGGGGGGGGGTCGATCATCTCGTATCGTCGGCGTCGGACGGGTCTGCGGTTGGCGCGCGGAATCGCGGGTTCGTGTCGGAGGCGTCGAACGGAAACGCGTCCGCGTCCGCAAAAAGCGACGAAAGGGGGTGTTTGCGTAGGCTCCAGAGGCTCGATCCGCGGCTACCGAGCTCTGGGGGCGGCTTCGTAAAAGGCATGCGCTGGACACTGCGCAATGCAGCGGATAGGCGCCGCCTTCGGTGCATCCCTGGGCTCCAGTGCCGTCACGGGAATTCTTCCCACCGATATCGGTGAAGTGCGCCGCTTGGGCTTGGGTCAGCGCGAGAAAAGCAATTAGTTTATGCATGGTTGGTATTGCGCAGGCAGCTACCGAACTTCGTCTTCCGCAGTTTTTGGCGCAAACGTGACCGGATATCGGCAGAGCATTGTATTGCTCGAGCATCAAACCGCTCAGAGCTCCGGATAAGTCTGATTTGAATGCGGACAATAGATTTGAGTTTGTGAAAATTCACACGACTGAAACGGGCCTCGGATGTATGCGCTGCGTTCCGAGTGCAGCACACAGCAGGACACTACAGTTCGCCAGGTCTAAGGTACTAGACGACGCGGTGCTTCTTCCTCACCCGCGCTGCGCGCTCGGCGACGCGCGCGCTCGAAACTTCCTTCGCGAGCCGGAGGTGGCGCGGCACATGACCGGCGACAGCGACTTAGGGCAAGGTTCTGCTACATCACAAATGTTAAACCGTATTCACACTGCTATCGCTACGTGGAGTGCTGAAGCGCCTGGCCTGGGCAAAAATAGGGGGCCCTGCACAACGGTGCGTGCCGCGGTCCCCGGCCACGTCCCCGGCCCGTGCCCGGGCCGTGCCCGGGGCCCCGTGCCGGGCCCGTGCCGGGCCTCCCCGGCCCGTGCCCGGCCCGTGCCCGGGGCCCGTGCCGAGTGCCGGGCCCGTGCCGGGCCGCGTGGCCCGTGCCCGGCCCGTGCCCGGGGGCCCGTGCCGAGTGCCGTGCCGCGTGCCGGGCCCGTGCCGGGCCGCGTGCCCGGAGCGCATTTACCGTGCCGGAACCCCCGTGCCCGCCGTCCCCGGCCCCCGTCCCGGGGCCGGACCGTCGTGCAGGGGCCCGTAAAAATCACCCTAATAAAAGTTTACTGCCACAAAAAATCCAGTGGAGGTGAGACGCCGCGCGCGCGTGTGCCGATAGGCACCGCCGCCCGAAGAATCTCCCGCGAGCTTCGTTTACACGCTCTGCGCCCCCCTGACCAGCACGATGATGCGAACGTTTAGCGGAGGGGGCCTCCTCGGCGAGACCAGAACTACGGGGACGGAGGACGAAGCCGTCGACGTCGTCGTGCGCGTCGCGAGGCTCGTCCACTGCAGCCGCGTCGGCCCGCGGGTCTGGGCCCGCGTGACCTGCGTCGCCGCCGGCGAAAAGCGGGAGGCCGTCCTCGGCCCCGCGGACGTGCGCGAGAACGCGTTCGCGGAGCGCGGCGCCGCGCCGCGTGGAAAGCGAACCGACTTCAATACGCACGAATTCTACCGTCCTTCAACGCATCTCCGTGGATGAGAGAAACGCACCCGGCCACAACGACGTCGATTTCGAGAGTTTTCAAGTTTTCCCGAACGCAGGCGCCGCGTGGCCGGCGGACGCGGCCGCGACGTTCCGCGCGCCGTCGCGCCGCGACGTCGCCGTGGCCGTCGGCCTGCTCAGCGGCGACGCGCTCGAGACCGCGACGGTCGTCGGCGAGCTGCGCCTGCCCCGCGTCGGCTACGACGACGAGTACCGCCCGCTCGCGGGCTCCTACGGCGGCGCGCTGTGTGGAAATCAACCACTGGTTTGGGGGGTCCCCACCAAACTTCAGAACTCTCTATCTCGATCAAATCGAAGTCGATTCGGCTGATTTTTGGACGAATCGATGGCTCTCATCGAGTTCTCGAAGCACAACCGAAGATTCCGGCGCAATCCGTTCAATTACGCTCACATTGAAGTCTGGTTGAATATTTGATTTCCACACAGGCGGCGCGCTGCGCTGCGGCGCGACGATCCGTTCCGCCGGCGCCCAAGACCCCGCGCCCTGCCGGCGGCGGTTCCTCCGCTACGAGTCGCGCGCGGGCGCGTCCGCCGACGAGTGCCGCGAGGCGCGGCGGTTGATGGACTGGGACGCGTCCGGCGGCGCGCCCGCGCGCCGCGCCGCGCTCGCGTGGCGGGGCTTCCCGGCGACGGCGCGCGCGGGCGTCTACGCCGACGAGGCCCGCCGGCGGCGCGGCACGTCCCCGAAGGGCGGGTCGCTGTCGACGTTCCTCGCGCGGACGGTCCCGCGGCCGACGTCGCCCGCGCCAGAAGAGGAGGCGAGCCTCGAGCGCTGGGCGGGCGCCGTCGACGACCTACTGCGCGCGCGGCCGCGGCCGGGCACGACGCTCGAGCCGCGGAGCCTCGACGCGCCCGGGGTCTCCGATCTCGCGCGGGCCACGCGCCTCGACGGGCTGGTCGTCGCGCTCGTGAGCCGCCTGCCCCTCGAGACGTCGGGCCGCCGCGGCGAGACGCTCCGCTGCGTCGTCGACGCCGTCGCCGACTGGTGCGCGGCCGACGACGACGCCGTCGAGCTCGGCGCGGCGCTCGCGCCGGCCTTCGAACGCGCGGAGCCGGGCGGCGGCGCGCTGCCCCTGGGCCTCGGCGCCGCGCGCGTCGACGTCTTCCTCGCCGCGGCGCTGGCCTTCGCGCCGCCGCACGCGCGCGTCCGCGTCGTCGACGTCGCGCTCTGCGGGCCCCCGGGCGCCCTCGCGGCCGTCGCCGACGCCTTCTACGCGACGGTGGACGTCGGCGGCGCGGACCGGCGCGACGTCCTGTGGGCCGTCGCCGACGGCGCGGCGACGTTCCACGACGCGGACGCGGCGCTCGAGGCCGCGGCGGAGGCCCACGCGGACCGCGCCGTCGACGCGGCGGCGCCCGACGACGCCTCGAGCAGCAGCGACGACGGCGCGCCGTTGGACTACGACGCGGTCGACACGACGATGGACATCGAGAAGATCAGGGCCGCAAAAAGCTCCTTTCCCAATTTCGAAGGCTCCGATCTCGGCCGGTTTCCACTCGTTTCGGCTGATTTTTGGACGAGCGATCATCTCTCGGAACGTTCTCGAAGCGTAGATGCTTATTCTGGAACGCGCGCACACGGGACACTCAAGTTGAAGCGACGTTGAATCACAGGAGAAGATGATCGCGGACGCGAAGCGCAAGTGCCACATCCAGGACCACCCGCGGACGCCGCGGCCGCCGACGCCGCCCGCGCCGCCGGCGAAGAAGGCCGCGTCGCCGCTCGGCGCGAAGATCGCGAACTTCTTCCACCGGCCCGCGCGGGCCCGGTCCGCGCCGGACCGCGTCGCGGCGGCCGCCGCCGACGACGAGCCGCCGCGGCGCCGCTCCGAGAGCGACGCGGCGGGCGGCGGGGAAGGCCGCCGCGACGCCGCCGCCGCGGCCGCCGACGCGGGCGCGGCGCTCCGGGAGCGCGGCGAGCTCCTCGAGGGCCTGGAGGGCAAGGCCGGCGACCTGGCCGACGCCGCGCGCGAGTACCGCGAGCACGCGCGCCGCGAGCGCCGGCGCGTCGAGGAGCAGCGGAACAAGCGCTGGTCCCTCTTCGGGGGGCGGAAGTAAGCGGGACGTGTTACTAGTACTTGGACGTGCCGCGCTCGTAGGACGGGCAGAGGCCGCTGGCCTTGACGGCCGCCCAGCCCGCGTCGAGGCTCGCGACGACGCCGTCGTCGAGGGGCCCGCCGCCGAGCCCGGCGAGGTTGTCCTCGAGGTGGGCGACCTTGGACGCGCCGATGATGATGCCGTCCCCCGGAGCGAGCTTCGAGTGGTGACTCATCCAGCGCAGCGCCGCGTGGACCGGCGGCGTCGCGGACGCGTCGCAGGCCGCCTGGAAGGCGTCGACGGCGGCGAGCTGGACGTCCTGGAGGTAGCGCTCCCGGTACATCGTGTTGTCCTTGCGGAAGCGCGAGCCGTCGTCGAGGTCCGCGAGGGACGCGCGCGTGTGCTTGCAGGCGAGCAACCCGCCGCAGAGCGGATTGTAGGCGTAGAATCGCATGCCGAGCGCGCGGAGGCACGGCAGCAGCTCGCGCTCGACGTCGCGCGTCAACCCGTTGTACATGCCCTGGTACACGCTGGGCTTGACGAAGCCCTTCGCCGCGCAGAGGTGGTAGATGTGGGCGACCTCCCAGGCGGCGAAGTTGGACAGCCCGAGCTCCTCGAACGCGCCGGCCTTGTGGAGCGCGTCCACGGCCTCGAGTGTCTCGAGGATCGGCGTCGCGCCGTCGGGGTTGTGCAGGTAGTAGATCTGCACCGGCGCGCCGCGCAGCGCCGCGCGGCTCGACTTCATCTGCCTTTCGACGGACGCCGCGTCGAGGCTCTTGTCGTATCCCTGGAACGCGTTCGCCTTCGTCGACGTCTTGAGGCGTTGCAACGCGGGCTCCTCGTCGAAGATGGCGCCGATGCACGACTCCGTCTCTCCCGACATGTACATGCGCGCCGTGTCGATCTCGACGTGGCCCGCGCCCAGGAAGGTCCGCAGCATAGTCGCCGCATCCCGCGGCGAGGTTTGCCCCGCGAAGGTCATGGTGCCGAGCACGACTCGGAGCGCCGAGTCGAGCATGGTGCCGTGCGAGCAGCCGCGCGAGGCGTCGAGCGCGATGGTGCAGGACCCTCAGCTGGCGGTTCAAGTCTGAATCAAGACGCCTTTCAAGCAGTGTTCAATATAGGTTCAACCAGATACCGTGCACGCCGACTTGCGCACCTCTGCCCGCGCTCCGGCGCCACGTCGGGTCTCCTGGACCGCGCTTCCTTACGGCTGCCCGAGCCCCAGGGGGTCCGCGTCCTCCGGGAACAGGTCCGCGAGGAGCGCGCGGCTCTTGTCGAGCTCCGCGTCCATGTCCTGCGCGAGGTGCTTGCAGTCCGTCGTCGCCTGGAAGAGCGCCTCCCGCGCGGCGGCGTCGGCGGCGTCGCGCTGGGCGTAGGCGGCCTTGAGCGGCGCGGGCGCGCGGTCGGTCGCGCGCCAGTCGAAGTCGCGGCCGAGCCAGTCCGCGACGCGCGCCGGCGCGGGCGCGTCGGGCGCCGCGTCCGCGAGCTCGGCGGCGATGGCGTCGGCGTCGTCGCGCAGGGACAGCCGGCCGCCGTCGAGGGCCTCGAGGCGCGGCAGCGACGCGCGGAGCGCGGCGACGTAGTCGCCGTCGTCGCAGCACGGGTTGCCCCGGGACCCGTCGGGCGCCGCGAGGGCGAGCGAACTCAGCGAACCGCAGGGCTCGAGGTCCCGGGCGAGCTGCTTCGCGCCGAGGATCGCGTTGCCGTGGAGGTCGAGGTGCTCGAGGCTCCGGAGCCGCGCGAGGCCGCGCTCGACCTTGCGGATCTGGTTCCGAGAGAGGTCGAGGCGCGCGAGCTGGACCAGCGCGTCGAGGCCCTCGACGTTGATGATCTTGTTGCCGCTCAGGTTCAGCGCGACGAGGTTGACGCAGTGCTCGACGTTCGCGATCTTCGCGAGCCGCGCGTTGCTCACCGCGAGCCGCCGCACGAGCTCGAGGTCGTACTGGCCCGAGTGCTTTTTGATCGCCGCCACGGTGAGCTCGTTCGACATGGCGCGGCGGCCCGGCCGCGAGCGACCGACGGCAGGGCACAAAGTGTGGGCTGCCTCTCAACCGGCGGGCTGCCCCTCCGCCCCGAAGACTGATGTTTGCCTCAACATCTCCTCAACATGCGTGCGCATGAAATTGTCCACGCTGTGAGCGCCGGCGAAGCGCTCGAAGCCGCCGCCTGAGACGCGCCATGTCGTGGTGGTCGTCGAACGTCGACGTGCCGGCGATCCTCGAGTCCTGCGGCGAGTGCGCCATCTGCTGCGAGCTGCTCTACGAGCCCTTCACGGCGCCCTGCGGCCACTCGTTCTGCCGGCGCTGCGTCGTCGCGTCCCTGCGGCACAGCGCCAAGTGCCCGAGCTGCCGGACGACGTGGCAGGGCATCCCCGCGGCGCCGCCCGTGAACGCGACGCTCGCGGCGCTGCTCGCGCGGCTCGCGCCCGAGGCCTACGCGGCGCGCGGCGCGGCGGCCGCGCCGCTCGAGCACAAGCCCGTCGCGCGGGTCGGCCTCTTCGTGCTCGACCACATGCTGCCGAAGCAGCGCATGAAGATCCACGTCTTCGAGCCGCGGTACCGGCGCCTCGTGAAGCGGAGCCTCGAGCGCGACCCGCCGACCTTTGGCATCGTCGGCGCGACGCCCGACAACGTCATGGCGTCCGTCGGGGCAGGAAACGAGTGATTCAACGTCGTTTCAACATGAATGTTCCGAAAGAAAGCATCCACGCGTCGAGAGCGCTCCGAGAGATGATCGCTCGTCCAAAAATGAGCCGAAACGAATGGAAAACGACCGAGATAGGAGCCTCCAAAGTTGGAAATGTCGCACTCTTTCCCCGCCCAGGCGTCCGTCTTCTGCGAGTGCGAGATCGTCGAGTGCACGGAGACGCCCGACGGCCGCTACTTCTGCGAGTGCGTCGCGCGGCGGCGGCGGCGCATCGCGCGGGACTGGGTCGGCGACGACGGCTTCCGCGTCGCGTGCGTCGAGGACCTGGACGACGACGCCGCGGGCGACGCCGACGCCGCGGACGCCGCGCGGCTCGTCGCGGATTTGGACGGGCGCCTGGACCTGTGGCTCCGGCGCTGCCGCGCGGGCGGCTGGGGCGCGTCGGCGACGCTCGACGCCGTGCTCGACGACCTCGGGCCGCGGCCCGCGGCCGCGGGGCCGGCCGTCGACGCCGAGGCCTACGGCTTGTACGCGGCGGCGCTCATCAACCCGCTGCCGCCGCTGGGCGTCGCGCCGGAGGTGCGCCTCGACGCGCTCCGCGCGACGGACTCGCTCGCGCGGCTCCGGCTCGTCGACCGCGCGCTGGCCCTGAGCCTGCGGCACCTCGACCCGCAGCGGCGCGCGACGGCCGTCCTCGCGAACGGGCTCCTCCGCCTCGCCCGCGCGGCCGCGGCGCTGCTGCTCGCGCCGCTGGCCTCGGCGCACGCGGCCGTCGCGGCCGCCGTCGCGCGCGTCGCCCGGCCCATCAGCGACGTCGCGGGGAGCCAGTAAAACGCGGCGGTGTTTTTACTAGGGGTCGTCGAGGGACGCCTCGTCGAGGAGCGCGCGGAACACGACGTAGGAGAAGAGCGTCGACTCGAGGAGCGCCTGGGGGAGCTGGAGCTCCGCGTCGCTCTCCGGCGGCACGACGGAGGCGACGCCGGCCGCGGCGTCGGCCGCGGGCGCGCGCACGGCGAAGCGGTCGACGAACGCCGCGCGCGCGGCGTCCTCGGCCGCCGTCGCCTCCCGCGGCGGCAGGCCCTCCTCCGCGCGCGCCGCGGCGTCGTCGACGCGCGCGAGCGCGAGCTCCTCGCGCGCCATGGTCGCCAGGGCCCGCCGCGCGCGCCGCGCCGCGCGGCGGAGCGCCTTGGACCCGTCGGGCTCGGCCTCCGCGACCTTTTCCCTCACCGCCTCCAGCGCCTGCCACGGCGCCCCTTCCCTCACCTCGAGCACGTCGAGCCAGTCGCCCTCGGGGTAGGCGTCCTCGACAGCGCCGCCGCCCGCGCTCCTCTTTTCCTCCTCCGCGAGCGACTCGGCCTCGATGTCGCGCCACGCCTCCGTCGCGAGCTCCGAGCTCAGCGCGCCGATGGCTAGAAACGCCGCGAAGACGCCGACGAGCACGGGGTCGCTGAGCTGCGACGTCGGCGCGCCCGACGCGACGTCGTCGACGACGGTCTTGCCGACGACGCCGAGGTAGGCGTCGAAGGCGTAGGGCTTGAGCGACCCGAGGAACATGGCGGGGGCGAACGCGAGGAACGACATGTCCGTCGCGCCGTACAGGTAGTTGTAGCCGCCTGTGCCGAAACCAACCACTGGTTTGGGGGGTCCCCACCAAACTTGAGAATTCTCTAGCTCGGTCAAATCAAAGTCGATTCGGCTGATTTTTGGACGGATCGATCGCTCTCGTCGAGTTCTCGAAGCACAGTGAAAGAGTTTGGTCCAAATCGTTCGATCACGCGCACATTGAAGTCGGGTTGAAGATTTGGTTTCGGCACAGGTAGCCGCCGATGGGGATCGGCAACAGGGGCGCGAGGCGCAGCACCAGCACGGTGACGAAGCCCCGCTCGGCGACGGCGCGCTCCAGCGCGCGCGTCTTCGCGTCGCGGCGCACGAGCACGAGCAGCTTCTCCCGGAGCCGCGGCCGGCCGTATCTTGCTAATCCGAAGGCCACCGAGGACCCGATCGTCGCGCAGGCCGTCGCGACGAGCGCGCCGTTGACGACGCCGCCGAATAAGACGCCCGACGAGATGGCCAGCGCGAACGTGAGCGGGTCGACGCAGCCGACCTTGGCGACGATAAACGCGCCGCAGTAGAGCAGGAGCAACGTCGCGTCCTCGTAGCCCGGAATCACGTCGAAGCTGTGGCTCCAGGCGACGAAGTCGTCGATGCGCTGGGCGATCTCCGTGTCCGCGGCGACGTCGAGGCCCAGGACCTGGAGCAGCGCGGCGCGCCCGCCGAAGCGGAGCACGAGCGCGACGACGACGACGCCGAAGGCCGTCGTGCCGACGGTGTTCGCCGCCGCGTCGCTCGTCGGTTCCGCGTCGGCGCCCGCCGCGTCCGCCTCGTCGGCGGCCTCGTCGTCGATGCGGTTCCAGCCGAGCTGCGCGTCGAACGCCGCGCGCGCGAGCTTCCGCCGCGCGGACCAGGTGCGCTCCGCCGGGGAGAGGCTCTCGCTGGCGCGGAGGGCGCGCGCCCGGGCCCGGCGCGGGTGTTGTATGGTAGTCCAGCGCGGCGCCGGTACGACGAACGCCGTCGAACTCGCCGCGCAGAGCGCGAGCGCGAGCTTCAGCGTGCGCGACGCGGACATCGTACGTGATCACGGCACCATTGGACACAGGTCACCTTGCCGCCAAGCTTAAGTGCCGTTCGCACATCTTAGGCTAGCTCGACGGCACGGGCACGCGCTTCACGTCGCGGACGCCGAGGAAGGCGCCGAGGAAGGAGGACCGCGGCGCGGGCGTGCCCGCGGCGGAGACGGCGTCGCTCGCGGCGTCGGAGGGCAACGCGCCGGGGATCGCGCGGTCCGTGGACCGCGCGAAGGGGCTGCGGCCCGGCGGGCCCGCGTGGCGCGGGCGCCGCGCGGCGTCGTCGGACCGCGCGCGGCGCTTCGCGGCCTGGGTCGCGGGCCCGGCGTTTCCGTCGCGCGCGTCGCGCGACGCGAAGAAGGAGAGGAGCAGGTCCGGCGACTCCATCTCGAAGAGCGCCTCGCGGAGGACGTGCTCGAAGTGGTAGTAGCGGCGCACGAGGTAGGCCGGGTGCGTGCAGCGGAAGACCTTCTTCGCGTCCTGGGCGTCGGCCCAGGCGCTCAGGGTGCGGACGATGCGCCGCGGCGCGGACTCGGCCGCGAGGCAGTCCATGAACGCGCGGAACGCGCTGTAGCGGCGCCACGCGCTCTTCGGCGGCCCGCCGTCCGTGGAGACGCGGAGCTCGTACTGGGCGAACTTCTCGAAGGGCGTCGCGACGACGCGCACCGCGCCCATGGCGAGCGCGACGGTGACGCCGCCGCCGCCGGCGCACGGGAAGAAGCGCGTCGCGGACCGCGGCGCGAAGGCGGGCTTGAGGTAGGCGCCGCCGTCGCGGTAGTTCGTGGACACGTTCGTCGCGTCGACGGCGGGGGCGCCGCTCTTGGGGTCGCGCGCGCTCAGCACGTCCCAGCGCTCGACGCCGTCGTCGTCGCGGAACCGCGCGGACCGCCGCCGCCGCGACCGCGGCGGCGCCTCGGCGAGGGCGCGCCGCGGCGCGTCGTCGCGGCGCACGTCGACGCCGTAGACGACGTCGTCGACGCCGGGGATCGCGAGGCGGAACTGTGTTGTGGCGGTGCTGCTGGTGGCCGTGGCCGGCGCTGCGGCGGCCGCGAGCTTCGGGCAGGGCCCGCCGCGGTCCGCGCCGGGGCTCGCGGGCCGCGCGCGCAGCTCCGGCAGCGACGCGGACCGCCGGAGCGCGCGCCGCACGGGCGCCTCGCCGCGCTCGGGCGACCGCTCCTCGAAGCCCATGGCACCCGCGCACGCGCTCGGCGTGCGCTTGTAGGCCCGCGCGGCGCAGCGCGCGCCGCAGGCCCCGAAGTTCGAGCTGTCGAAGCGGCTCGGCGCCTCGGGGGGCGCCGCCACCGACGCGGCCTCGCTCTTGTTCGACGTCTCGTCGTCCTCGTCGAAGCCCTCGGGCACGCTGCTAAAGTGGCCCCACTCGTCGCCGGAGCTCGGCGTCGCCGGGTCCTCGAGCGCCCGGGGCGGGGGCGGCGGGGGCGGCGCGTCGGGCGCGTCGGGCGCCCCGGCGGGCCGCAGCAGGTGGGCGGATTCACGCGGACACAGGTCGTCTTCCATTGCCTCTGTGCAGCAGGCGTCAATCACCAGGGATTCAAGTGGTTGACGTTTTCCATGCAAAGCTGCTGTGAGCAGCCCGGGCGGCGTCCTAAGCTCGCGCGTCGCCGGCGCCGCCGATTTGGCGCTGCGGGCAGCCCGCGAGCCCGCCGGAGCGGCGCGCGCGGAGCCATGCGCGTCGCGCGCGCCGTCGCCTTCGCCGCCGCGGCCTGCGGCGCTGCGTCCGCGGAGGTGCGCGAGGCCGCGGCGACGCGCGGCACGGAGGCGAACCCGCCGCTCTGGCCCAAGAGCGTGCACGTCTTCGACCCCGGCGAGAAGCACGTCGCGCAGACGGCGGCGCGGCTGTCGGCGCTCGGGAGCGCCCTGGGCCGCGTCCGCGCCGCCTTCCTCTTCAAGCCCGGGACCTACGCGGAGCCCGTCGCCGTCGGCCCGTACGTGCAGGTCCTGGGCCTCGGCGCGGCGCCCGAGGACGTGGCGCTCGCCGGCGGCGTGGCCGTCGTCGGCGGGGACGACGGCGCGCCGCGGGGCGCGGAGAACGTCCACGTCCCCGGGGACCTGGCCTTCGCCGGCGGCGGCCTCCGGCGCGCCGTCGTCGGCGGCGCCGTCCGGCGCTGCGCGCACGCGGCGAACGCGCGGCTCCGCGGCGGCGCGATATTGGAGACGCAGCGGTCCTGGCTCGCGCGCAACGTCGCCTTCGACGCCGCCGCCGCCGTCGACGTCGACGGTGACGTCGCAGCCGCTGAGGCCGTTGTAGGCGGCGGCGTCAACGTCGCGTTCGTCGGCTGCCGCGGCGCGCCTCCAAAGCGCATACCCCGGGGCGGCGACCCGGCCTGCAGCTACGCGGCGCGCAACGCGACGCCCGTCGTCGCGGAGAAGCCCTACGTGACCATCCGGGCCGACGGGACCTACGACCTGCGGGTCCCGGCGCCGCGGTTTAACGCGAGTGGCCCCGACCATTCCGAGGACCCGGCCGTGGACTTTGGCGCCGTCTTCGTGGCGACGGACGCCGTGGACAGCGACGTCATCCAGGAGAAGCTCGACCGGGGGCTCCACGTCGTCCTGGCGCCGGGCTACTACGACCTCGAGGACGGCCTCGTCCTATCGTTCCGCGGCCAGGTGCTCCTGGGCCTGGGCCACGCGACGCTCGCGGCGCCCCCCGGCGGCCTCCCCGCGGTGCAAGTCTTGCCCGGCGCCCACGGCGCGCGCGTCGCGGGTGTGGTCGTCGACGCGACGGCGGCGCCCCGGGGCGAGACGGCGCTCGTCGCCTGGGGCGACGCCGCGGCGGCGCCCGGCGGCGACGCGGGCGACGCGGCCCATCCCGGCGTCATGAGCGACGTCCTGTTGCGCGTCTGCGGGCCGACGCTCGACGCGCGCGTCGACGCGGGCCTCGTGGTGCGCAGCGGCCACGTCGTCGGCGATCGCGTCGCGGCGTCGCGCGCGGCGACGGCGCTCGACGCCGCGGGCGAGCCGCGCGCCGTCGCGGGCGGCTGCGGCCTCCGCGTCGGCATAGTCGTGGTCGGCCACGGCGCGGCCTTCTACGGCCTGGCGGTCGAGCACGCGGGTACGGACGGCGTCCGCTGGCTCGGCGAGAACGGCACGGCCCTCCACGCGGAGGCGATCTTGCCCTTCGACGGCACGCAGGGCAGCTTCGGCAACGGCGGCCACAGCGGCTTCGCCGTCGGCGACTTCGTCAAGGCCCACGACGCCCTCGCCGTCGCCGTCTACGGCAACTTCCGCGACGAGGCCGTCGTCGTGCGCACGGCCGTCCGCAAGTCCGCGTCGCCGAACGCGACGTTCGAGGGCGCCACCGCGGCGCACCTCGGGGGCCTCGGCACCATCGCGGCGGTCATCAACGGCGATGGCGCCGCCGTCGGGCCCGCGGGCAACAAGGTGAGTCGCTGGCCCTAAGTTTTCGCCTTTAGCCCGCGGCGAGGTACGCGGCGGCCGCGGGGAGGCCCTCGTCGTTCGCCGGCGGCGGCCGGCGGAAGGTCTCGCCCGGCCCGTCGGCGAGGAAGACGCGCTCGAACGCGTCCATGACGGCCGCGGGGCCGAAGGCCGGGTGGTAGGCGTTCCAGTAGCCCCGGGGCAAACGCCGCGCCGCGTCGCGGTCGAAGGCGTCGAGCGCCTTCTCGAGGGACCGCGCGTCGCGGTAGGGGATGGCCCGCCTCTGGAGCACGCTCAGGTGGAAGCGCGCGTAGCTCGGGTCCGGCGAGTCGAAGGTGAGCACGGGCCGGTCGTGGCGCGCGAAATCCGCGACGGCGAGGCCGAACGTCTCGCCCTCGGCGCGCGCGTGGAGCATGGCGTCGCAGGTGCGCACGAAGGCCGCGACGCGGTCCGGGTCCGCCGTGCCGGGGATGAATCTGACGTTGGGAATCGGCGCGCCGAAGGGCGCCGTGTTCATGAAGAGGAAGACGACGTCGGGCCGCGCCGCCGCGCGCGCCTCGACGACGGCCTTGACGAAGTCGATGGAGAAGGTGTGCAGACCGCCGTGGCGGCCGAAGACCGTCGCGTTCGCCGCGATGCCGAGCTCCTCCCGCAGGTCCGGGCCGTCGACGTCGCCCGGGCGGACGACTAAGGGCACGACGGCCGCGGCGGACGCGGGCCTGCGTGGAAATCCACCGCTGGTTTCGGGGGTCCCCACCAAACTTCAGAACTCGGTCACATCGAAGTCGATTCGGCTGATCTTTGGACGAATCGATCGCTCTCGTCGAGTTCTCGAAGCACGACAGAAGGACTCGCGTCGAAACTGTCGCGTACGCGCACATTGAAGTCGGGTTGACGATTTCGGCGCGGACGCGGGCCCGTCGACGGGCACGTGGTCGCTCACGCGCGCGTAGACGTCGCCGTGGGCCTGCGTCGCGAAGAAGACGCAGTGCACGAGCGTGCGCGCGACGGCGCTCACGAGGCCGTCGTCCAAACCCGCCTTCTGGACGTAGAAGTGCGTCGCGCCGTCGCGCGCTAACACGCCGTCGACGTCCCCGGCCGCAACCCCGACGACGCGGTCCCGGCCGAAGCGCGCCTCGAACTTGGCCAGGATCGCCGGCAGCGGCGGCACACTGGCGTCGTGGAGCACGAGGACGCTGTCGACGAGGCCCATGGCGAGCGCGAGGTCCGCGTAGTCGTACGTCGACACCGTCGTCCCTCGCTCGTCCAGGGCCCCGCAGTGGACCGCGAGGCGCACGCCCCGGGGCGCCTCCGCGGCGCAGGCGGACCGCGGCGCCGCGGCGCCGCGCTCGAGGAGCGCGGCGAGGCGCGCGGCGGCGCCGGGCTCGCCGAGCGCCGCGGCTGCGCCGAACTCCGCGGCCGCGCGCAAGCCGTCGCCGAGGTGCTCGTGCGCGACGCCCAGGTGGAGGCGCACGCGGCCGTGGTTCTGCGGCGTCTTGTTTCGCAGCGCCTCCAGCGCCGTCGCCGCGTCGTCCCAGAGCCAGGCCCAGACCTTGGGGCCCACGCGCGAGCCCTCGCGCCGCTCGACCCACGCGTCGACCCGTCCGAGCCCGTCGCCGAGCTCGCGCGCGTCGCAGCGCGGCAGCACGAGGCCGCCGCGCAGGCCGTGGCAGCTCTTGCCGAAGCCGCAGTCGAAGCAGACGTCGTAGGCGTCGGGGTCGCGCCGGACCTCGGGCGCGGCCGTGAGGTCCGCGGAGAGCGCGACTTTCACCGACTGGCCGCGCTCGTCGCCGGGCCGCGGGCTCTTGAGCGCGAGGAGGGGCGCGCCCTCGCTCGGCGCGAAGGCGCCGCAGTCGCCGTAGAAGACGTCGCAGCCGCGGTCGGTGCCCTCGAAGACGTAGCCGTGGGCCTCGAGGAAGACGTGGACGCGGCGCTGCGATTTGGGGGCCGCGGCCGCGCTCACGGACACGCGGCGCGCGCAGCGCGCGTGGTGCGGGAAGCCCCGCAGCACCTCGGCCTCGGAGCCCGCCGTGTCGACGTGGAGGTGGTCGATGATCGGCGGCGCGGCCGCGCCGTCGAGGAGCGCGCCGAGCGTCGCCGTCCGCACCTTTTTGCGGAAGAGCGCGGGCCGGCCGCGCGTGCCGTTGAGCGACCCCGTCGGCGCGCCGTCGTCGCCGAGGTAGCGCGCGTAGGCCGCGAAGGCGCGGTCGGCGGCGCCGGCGGCGACCCGCGCCACGGCGCAGGCCCGCGCGCCGACGGCCTCGGGCTCCGGGTCCACGCAGAGGCCCCGCCAGCCGCGGTCGACGTCGAGCGCGTGCGTCCGCGACCGCGCGTCGTTGAAGCCCACGTCGACGTAGTAGCCCCGGGCCCGGCACCCCGCGTCGCCGGCGACGGCGCCGCAGGAGTCGCCGGGCGCCGCGCTCGCGACGACGTGGAAGCGCGCGCCGCGCTTGCCGCGGCGCTCGGCGCCGCGCTCGAGCCAGCTCGCGAGCGCGTACGCGCCCGGCGGCAGCGCGACGCGCTCGTCGCCGCACCAGGCCACCGGCGCCACGGCGCGGCAGGCGGGGTCGCCGTCGCAGGCGACCTCGTGGCAGGCGACGTAGCCGCCCGCGGCCGCGCGCGCCGCGACGGCCGCGCGCGCCTCGACGGGCGACACGACGCGCTCCTCGGCCGCGGGCGTGAGCACCTCGAGGTCCCGCCAGTGACGGCTCTCGTTGTAGCGCCGGTAGAGGAAGATGGGCGCCGGCTCGTGGATGATCTTGCCGCCGGGGCGCACCTGCGGTGTCGGGGGGGGTCGCGGGGGTCCCCCGGCGAACCGAGCGAGCCGAGCGGCGCGAGGCCGCGCGGCCCGTCCGTCTCGAAGGAACGCGCGCGCAACGGGAAGAGTTGAAGTCTTCTTCTTTGAAAACCGACCCTGGGGAACGCGCGGGCCGCCACGACATGAGGTCGTCGAGCTCCGCGTCCGGCGTCGGCGACGGCTCCGGCGCGGCGTACTTGCGCCGCGTCGCCGCCGCGAACGCGCACGCGGCGCAGAAGACGGACGGCTTCGCGTGGTCGAGCGCCCGGCGGAAGCCCGGCGCCCAGAGGTTCGGCGGCAGGGACCGCCAGTGGAGGTGGAAGTCGTAGACCGTGCGGTTCGCGAGCGCGTGCGCGAGGTACGCGGCGACGTGCGCCTGCGTGGACCCCAACTCAGGCTTCAATGTGCGCGTATTCGACGGTTTCGACACAAATCCTTGTACTATTCGTCGAGAACTCAACGAGAGAAAACGACCCGTCCAAAAATCAGCCAAATCGACTTCGATTTGACCGAGCGAGAGAAGTTTGGGTTCCGCGCGGCTCGAGCGCCGGGCCCTCGAAGTCGTCGACCATGACGGCGGCCGCGGGCGCCGGCAGCAGGGCCCGCGCGTCCGGCGCGCCCCAGTAGACGGGCACGCTGCCCTCGGCCAGCACCTGGAAGAGCTTCTCCGTCGCGTAGCCCGGCGCCGCGGAGTTCTCGTAGGCGGCGACCTGTGCGGAAATCAACCACTGGTTTGGGACGTCCCAACCAAACTTTGAAATTCTCTAGCTCGGCCAAATCGAAGTCGATTCGGCTGACTTTTGGACGAATCGATCGCTCTCGTCGAGTTCTCGAAGCACAAAAGAAAACTTTGCGTCGAAACCTTCAAATACGCTCACATTGAAGTCGGGTTGAAGATTTGATGTCCACGCGGGCGGCGACGAACGCGGACTTGCGGTACGCGCAGCGCCTCCGCGGGTCGTCGTCGACGGTGGCGGCGCCGCCGCTCCGCGCGTCGGTCGGCAGGGACGCGCACTCGGGGAAGGTCGCCTCCATGGTCGCCGTCGGGCGGCAGGCGCCGTGCGACGCGAAGAGGGGCCCGAGAGCGGCGCGGAGCGCGTCGACGCGCTCGAGCCTGTCGCGGGCGAACTTCGGGTCGCACTGCGACGAGACCCAGAGCACGTGCTTCGCCTTGCGGTCGAAGTCGACGGGCGGCGTCGCGAAGGCGCCCGGCGGGTCCGTGACGTAGGAGAGAGGCAGGTGCGGCACGCCCGCGAGCGGCGCCCCCGGAGCGAAGCCGAGCGTCACGTCCGCGTCGCCGCGGAAGGCCTCCAGCGATTTCTCGAAGCCGCCGTCGGGGAAGAAGCGCGCGTCGTGCTCCATGAAGACGACGGCGTTGGCGTGCCGCGGCCGGTCCACGTAGGGGAAGTCCACGGGGAAGCCGTTCGACGCGTGCGTCGTGAGGTAGACCGTCGCGTGGTCCCCTTCAAAGGGGTCGCCGAGGGACACGCCGCAGGCCACGGCCCCGCAGAGCCGCCAGCCCGTGGCCATCTCCTTGAGGAGCCAGGACCGCGTCTCGACGCCCAGGAGCACGGGCTCCGCCGCGAGGAGGTCGCGGATCGGGATCCCGTGGCGGCTCGCGCGCGCGACGCCGAGGCGGTCCGCGGCGTCGTAGTGGTCCCGCGCGTCGAGCACGAGGCCGTCCTGTTCGTCGAGCATGCCGAGCACGTAGTGGCTCCAGCCCGCGGCCCGCGACGCCCAGGGCGGGACGGCGACGCTCGCGTTCTTTTCGAGCTCCTCGTGGAGCCGCGTCGCGACGTCGTACTCGTTCGCCGCGAGGCGCGGCGCGGCCACGAGGATGAACTCCTCGGCGACGGCGACGGTCAGGGCGAGCTCGCGCAGGCGGTCGCCGGGCCCCGCGTTGCTCCGGAGGCAGCGGAGGCCGTCGACGAGGTCGCGCTCGTTCTCGCGGTACGTCGGCTTCGATCGGACGCGGTCGCGGCCCGCGTCCACGGGCTCGCCCGCGCAGGTGCCGCCGGAGTTCAGGGCCGCGCAGGGCGGCAGCGGCGCGTCGCAGGTCCGCGCCGACGCCGCGAGCGCGCGGAAGGCCGCGTCGACGACGGCGTCCGCGTCGCCGAGGAAGCGGTCCCTCAGGCTCCGGCACGCCTCGAGCCGCGCGGGCAGCAGGCCCGCGTCCCGCTCGTCGTCGAGCCGGCGCAGGAGGCCGCGGGACCCGTAGCGCATCAAATCCGGCGTCGCGACGACGGCGCACCGCGCCCAGAGCGCGTCCGCGTCCTCGAGGCCCGCGAACGGGAACACGAGGAGGCCGTCGTCGACGACGACGGGCGCCGCGCCGGCCCGGATGGCGTCGACGAGCCGCTCCGACGCGTAGGGCGCCGCGCCGCCGGGGCAGAGCGCGTAGCTCGAGTTCGCGAGCACCGCGGCGTAGTGGTCGCTCCACATGCCGCCCCAGTCGGACTCGTCGTCCGCGTGCGCGACGACGACCCCGTTGCTCAGCGAGTGGGCGCCTGGGGAGCGACGCACGGGTGAGGCGGTTTCCACTTTCATGATCAACTCGTTTCGGCTCATATTTGGACGAGCGATCTCTCGACGCGGAAATGTAGATGGCTTTCATTCGTGTTGAAGCGACCTCGAATCGCCCCGTTTCCGCCCCGGCGCGCGCAGCTCGCGACGACGCGGCTCCGCAGGCCGAAGGTCGACGGCGCCGCGGGCACGACGTAGGGCGTGCCCGCCGCGGGGATGGTGCCGACGAAGCCCAGCAGCAGCGGCCGCGCCGTCGACGCGGCCGCGGCGTCGAGGTCCGCGTCCGTCCGCCGCGCGCCCGCGTAGTTCCGGTGCGGCTCCGCGCCCGGGTAGTAGACGGGCAGCTGGACGTCGCGGCCCCTGCGGAAGCTGCGCTTCGTCAGCGCGTAGCGCAGCACCGCCGCGCCGCCGACGTCGAAGGACCTGCGGCGACAAAGTCGTTTCGGCTGTTTTTTTTTGGACGAACGATCATGTTTCATCGAAATAGTTGCGGCGGCATCGACACGAGCGATCGTCTATCCTTTTTCGAAACAGTTGCAGCGACATTGAGAATCGGCCCGGCAAACGGACGGCGTCTCCTCGTCGGGGTGCTCGCTCATGAAGACGGCGTGGTTCGCGCCGCATTGGCCCCAGTGCGCGAGCCGCGCCAGCGGCGCCTCCGCGGCGAGCGCGACGGCGTCGGCAAAGGGACCGGCCGCCGCGGCGGGCGACGTCACGAGGAACCAGCAGGCATCGCTCGGGTCCGCGACGGCGACGGCCGACGGCACGAGGTTGCGCGTGAGCCGGTCCACGGCGTGCGCGAGCCACGGATTGTCGATTTTATCCGCGTCGTAGACGTAGATGGGCGTGGGCGAACGGTCGCAGTTTGCTGCTGCGCGGACTAGTGGCAGTAGCAGCGCGATGACTGCTACCGGGCTGCCCATTGCGCGCCGCGGCACTTTGCCAACCTTGCATGCTCCAAGGCGATGCATCGCGATGTTGCTTCGCCGAAGGACGCGAAGACGTAAAAAGCTTCTCAGGTCATCGAGTGCACTGCCGCTCGCAGCGCCGCGCCGCACCCGCGATCATGCTCAAGTGCCTCCTCCTACCCGTGCTCGCCGTCGCCTTCGAAGACGGCGCGCCGCGCTGGTTCCCCAAGTACGTCGGCGGGCACGAGGCCACGCTCCTCGACGGCGCCTGGGCCTACGGCTTCGCGGACGCGCTGGACTCCGTGGCCGCGGGCGCCGACGCCGTCGCGCGCGTGTCCACCATGGCCGTCCCCGGCACCATCGACGCGGCGCCGCCAGGGGTGCCCGGCAAGCGCGGCGTGAGCATGTACGAGACGACGTTCGAGACGGGGTCGCAGGAGACGCAGTGGCTCGAGTTCATGAGCTGCTCCTTCTTCTGCCGCGCCTGGGTCGACGGCGCGGAGGTCGGCAACCACACGGCCGGCGGCTACGTGCCCTTCCGCCTCGCGATCCCGCCCAAGGCCGGCAAGCGCACGCTCGTCGTGCTCGCCGACAATCGCTTCAACGACACGACGGCGCCGCTCCACACGGGCGGCGACTTTTGGCACTACGGCGGCCTCATTCGCTCCGTCGTGCTCCACGCGACGACGGGGCCCGCGGTCGCGCGCGCGCACGTCTTCCCCAAGTTCGACGGCAAGGCGTGGGCCGTCGACGTGGACGTGACGCTCTCCGACGCCTCCTTCTCCGGCAAGCTGAAGACGCGCCTGTCCTGGGACGGCGACGACCTCGGCGAGCAGGAGCTCACGTACGCCGACGGCAAAGCGACGACGTCCGTCGCCGCCCCGAAGGACGCGACGCTCTGGTCCATCGACCAGCCGGCGCTCCACGAGCTCGGCGTCTCCGTGGGCGGCGCGGGCGTCGTCGAGCGCTTCGGCCTCCGCGCGTTCACCGCCGTCGACGGCCGCATCGCCTTGAACGGCGACGTCGTCAAGCTCCACGGCTGGAACCACCACACGCAGTGGCCCGACACGGGCGCGTCGCCGACGGAGGCGCAGATGGACGAGGACATCATGCTGCTCAAGGCCGGCGGCGCGAACTACGTGCGCGGCGCGCACTACCCGCAGGACCAGCGCTGGCTCGACCGCCTCGACGCCGCGGGCATCGTCATGTGGGAAGAGGCGCTCGGCCCCGGCGTGTCCGTCGAGAACACGGAGGACGCCGCGTGGATGTCGACGCAGGTGACGCAGCTCGAGGAGATGGTCTACGCGTCCGCGAGCCACCCGTCGATCATGACCTGGGGCTTCTTCAACGAGGGCCCGTCGACGGAGAAGAAGGCGTGCCCCGCCTACAAGACGTGCGCGGAGACGCTGAAGCGGCTGGACTCCACGCGCTTCGTGACGTGGGCGTCGAACAAGGAGGACCGCGACGAGTGCCTCGACCACGCGTCGCTCGTCTCGTTCAACGGCTACCCGGCGTGGTACGTCGACTTCGGAAACACGAGCCTCCCGGGGCCGTTCTGGTCGCGGCTCGCGAGCTGGGTCAACGACGAGCAGCCGGGCAAACCGTTCGTCATCAGCGAGACCGGCGCCGGCGCGATCTACGAGTACGACAATGCGACCGCGGTCAAGTGGTCGCCGAAGTACCAGCTGGAAGTGCTTGAGGCCGACGTCGACGTCGCTTTACAGGACGAGCTCATCTCTGGGATCACGCTTTGGCACTTCTTCGACTTCAAGGGCAACGACGGCGCGCAGACCTGTGGGCCCTGCGAGTACGTGCCCGACGTCTCGCCGCCGCTCTGCGGCTTCATCAACGTGACGTGCGCCAAGGGGAAGCGTCCCGGCGGTGCGAACCACAAGGGCGTCATCGACTTCTGGCGCCGGCCCAAGGAGAGCTTCGCCGCCGTGGCCGCCAAGTACGCGGGCGTGTAGGGGTCTGGGTGCGCCGCTATGTAAGCGCTTGTTTTGCTCAAAATTGCCTCGAGAGGAGTCCGGGCGCTCGCCGAAGGCCGCAGTATTTGCGATGCGGACCCGTGCACGGCGCGGTGCGGCGCAGCTCCCGCTCGATGTAGCCGCGACCGTCTTGAGTTATCTCGAAGGCGGTGCTCTGCGCTGTATCTCGGACAGCGGCGCCGACTCTGTCGCCGTGGAGACTGCTTTGGACAGTTTCAGCGGCCAAGGCGACCGGAAGACGGTCAAATTGCTCCTCTACCAAACAACGCGGCGCCCGCTGCGCGTCCCCGAGAATTTGACCTTGAAGGCCGCGCTGGCGACGGCGCGCACCGGCGACACGATCCTTGTCTCGAAAGCGCTCCAGATTCCCGAGACGCTTCGCGTTCCGAACATCGCGCTCCGCATCGTCGGCGCGCGACGGCCGAAGTGGAGCTTCGGTCGTGACTATCAAGGCGACGAACGCCGTCCTTATCATTGGGGAGCTGTTACGATTTATACGAAGACACTCGATGCACCCTTCCTCCTCGTCGAAGGCGACGAGACTAGTCTGACGCTCAAGAATATCTCCTTCGACGGCTTCTCTCGGGACCTGTGGTATACGCCGCCGTACGTCGAGGAGGACGAAGAAGATGGGTTCAACATGGACGCGCACGATACAGCGGTCAAGGTGAGCGAACGCGCGCGGGTGAAGATCGACAACTGCGCCTTCGCTTGTTTCGGGCGGATGGCTGTGTTCGCGACGACCGGTTCGAACGTCCTGCTCCAAAACTCCTATGTGTCTCGCGGCTACTTTGGCGCTCAGGCGGACGGCGCTGGTACTTCTCTCGTGATCCGAAACTGCCGGCTGATCGGCGAGTCCGTGTACGGCGCTTTGGCGATCGACGGCGCAAGCGTAGAAGTCGAAAACTCAATGTTCTCGAGCAAGGAGTCGCCTTGTCAAAATGCGACCATCTGCGCCCAAGGAGAAGGCTCTCATATAAAGGTGGACAGCTCGACCTCGTACGCCAGGCCGAATTTCGCCTCCAGCGATCGAACCCCTTTCATGGTCATCCTCGACGATGCCACGCTCACGGTCCAGGGCAAGCACCTGCAGTGGAATGTATACTTCCTCGGTGAGGACGCCATCATGGATTGCATGGAGCCGAAGGAGGATGGCTCAGAATGGGACTACATACCAGGAGAAGACGACTGGAGCACCCTTCGCGCTAGCAACCACCCATCGAATCTGTTCAGGCTCTGGTAAAAGAAGGATTTACACAAACGTCGGGAGGGGGAACAGTCGTGGGTGGCGACGCGGCGGACCGCGTCGCGGGTCGTAGCACATGGTCAGATGGCGACGCTCGCCTCGACGAAGCTGACGTCGAAGGCGTTGTAGGCCATGCAGAGCGCCGGGAGCTCCGAGCCACCAGTAGTCCATGTCCTCGAGGTTGCGCAGGAGCGGCACCGAGACGAGGACGTAGGAGGAATCGAGCTCGGACAGGGAGCGCGTGACGCCGCCGAGCGCCGCGCGGCGCGCGAGGAACGGGCACTTGACTTGGGCCGCGTCGGCGTCGCCAGGCGCCGCGTGCGCGGCTCCGTGCGCGCCGGCGGCGCGGAGGCCGCGGGCGCCGACGCGCGAGGTGGAAGCGCCGCCGTGCGACGCGGAAGCGCCGACGCGCGACGCGGAGGCGCCGCCGTGGGCGCGGAGGCCGTGGGCGTGGGTGCCGCCAGTGAGCAGCGCGAGCGCGAGGACAATGGAGCGCGAGGCGGAGAGCGACATGGTCGTGTTCTTGCGCGCTTGCGTTGAGAGGTTGCGGTAGTGTTGTGGGTGTCGCGGAGCAACTTGCTGGGAGCGAGCGAGCCCGCTTGTGGTTGGTTTTTTGCCTCCATATTTTGCTCTCCGGAGCTCCGTCCAACTTCGCCCGAAGTCGGGGCGCGTGCAATGCCTCTCGCCGGGGGTAATCTTTCGAAAGCATTTCGAAGACAAGGTGCGGCGTAGACGGGTGGCGTCGCCTCATGCGCAAGAGAGAGAGCCCGCTTGCGGCATGAATGGTGGGTTCTATGGCGTACTTACTCGAGGCGCGCCCCGCCTACAGCTCCTGCACGTCCTCTTCCTCCTCCTCGGTGGCCGCGTCGTCCTCCTTCTCCGCCTCGACGGGCTTCGCGCCGGGGCGGATGACGAGGTGGCCGGGGTAGGTCGCTTCCAGGCGCTTGTAGAGGATTTCTTCGAAGCCCTCGTACTTGGCCGCGATCTTCTCGGCGCTGTCGACCTTGTCGGGCTTGGCGCGCGCGTAGAAGTCGCGGAGCGCGACCGTCGTCCGCGCGATGCGCCGGCTCCGGCGCTGCATGTGGAACAGCGTGTAGATCACGGGCAGGCAGAAGAAGCCGACGAGGCAGTACTTGAGGAGCCGGTAGCACCGCTTCTCGGCGTCCTTGCGCTCCTTGCGCTCCGAGTTGATGGGCACGGCGGCCGTCAGCACGACGGCGGACGGCATGCCGCGGCCGTCGATGCTGTACTCGACGGTCGCGCGCTCGGAGTAGACGACGTCCTCGTCGTCGTTCACCGTCTCGAACGGGTCCTCGAGGCCGTCGCCCACGGGCCGCCAGCCGCCGGCGGCCTTCTCGAGGAACGCGAAGTCGAGCGCGCGGTCCTCGCCGCCGCCGCCGAGGAGCGCCTTGCGCTCGTAGGTCCGGCGCGCGGCGCAGGGCAGCGCCGCGCCGGCCTCGAAGAGCACGTCCGGTTCGCCCGCGGCGCCGTCGTCCCCCAGGAGCGCCGCGGCGACGTCGCGGCGCACGGCGCCCGCGACGCGGAGCCCCTCGGGCGCGCCGCTGAGCTCGACGTCCGACGCCGTGAGCACCGCCGCGCCGAGGGCCGCGTCGCCGGCGTCGGCGACGACGAGCGCGCGCTTGCCGCCGACGTTGGCGGCGACGGTGGCGGCGTCGAGCGCGCCCTCGCAGTCGCCGCGGACGACGGCCCACGCGACGGACCTGCCGGCCGCGGCGTCCTTCGCCGCGCGCTTCGCCGCTTTCGCCAGCGCCGCGAGCGCGGCCGCGTCGGCCGCGCCGCCCGTCGCCAGCGCGAGCAGGGCGCCGCGCGACGCCTCGCAGGCGTCGCCCGCGGACGCGAGCACCTCGAAGGCGCCGTCCTTGCAGTCGACGGCGGCGGCGTCGACGCCGCCGCAGCCGCAGTCGATCACGAGCCCGACGCCCTCGAGGTCGGCGACGTCGGCGACCCCGAAGGGCGCGCCGTCGCGGTAGCAGGCGCCGACGAGCAGGGCCACGGGCGCGTCGACGACGAGCGCCGCGCGCGCGTCGACGGCGCCGAGCGCCGCGGCCGCCGCGACGCGCCACTCGAGGGACGCCGTCCCCGGCGCGACGAGCGTCGCGCGGCGCACGGGCGTGCGCACGAGCTGCGTCGCGCGCTGCCGGGGCCGCGCGAGGAGGAGGCCCACGGCGAGCGCCGGGTCGAGCGTGCAACGCTTCTTCCGCTCGCCCGACGCGCCGCAGTCGAAGCCCCAGGGCCGCGCGGCGCCAAAGGCCGGCGCCGCGTCGGGCGTCGCCTTCGTCGCGCGCGACGGCGCGAGGCCCGGGCCGGCCCAGGCCCGCGGCGCCGCGCGCGCGCCGAGCCAGAGGCCCGGCGCGACGATCGCGGCGTCGCCCTGGGGATCCTCAGAGTC